TTACAAAGATAGTAACAGCCAGCGAATCCACACTTTGCTTCAATCAAATCCATGGGGCTGTGCCGAATAACCGAATATTCGACCGTCAAATATCCATTTATTTTTTGAATTTGAATATTCAAACGACGAATCCCCCCCTTCCACTGCAAAAGTCCATGCTCTCCCTCCTTCCCCCACTTGGAATTTTAAAACATACACAAGAAGTATTTACAAGCCCAGCTCATGGGCATTTGATACCCCCTCCAAAAAATAATGTGTGCATCCCCTGGTAGGCCCTGCAAACTTCACCCCAGTTATGCCATTGCTACTTCACTCATTTGTTTGTTGGTGGGAACCGTCTCGCTAAAGAGGTCTGAGCGAACCTGTGCGTATGAAGTAGCAGTGCAGTGAGTTGATGTGAAACTGTGGCTGGACCGTTTTGCTAGCGGCTACCATGGCCTGAGAGACCACCATCCCTCCGTACAGCTGCTTGGCTTTGAACTCTCTCCAATGCTCCGAGGCTCTGAAATTGGAACATTCATTTGTAATTTTTTTAAATTTAATTTCTAACCACCTCAGATTTTTCTCGGAAGGACCATATTGAATTGAACAGAATGCCAAAAATGGTACATTAGATTGCAGAATCATTAAGTTAAAAGAAATCCACAGTGGGCCATCACAATTTTCGATTGTGATAAGACCAACCTGTTTAGCCAACTTTTTAAACCTATTCCCCTCAGCACTGATGAGTCCCCTTTTGCTCGTTGTGTTTACAGCATTTGACACTTGAGATAGTCCAATATGGAGTCCTTCCTGCAGAATCCAACAAACTTTTCCACTGGCACCAATTCACTGCAAATTTGGGGTCTCATTTCAGTTTGTTTTTCCTGTTTTTTCTCTCGTTTGCTTAATTCTGTTTCCCTCCTTTCTTCTTATGCTGCTTTGTTGTTGTTAATCCAGCTTTGTTGCTTTACTTCTTTTATTACATTCTTACAGGGAAAAAATTACAATTAATTTTAACAGTCTTATTTTGCCGTTCAGAAAGATTCTGCTGGGATCAAAATGTCAGACCCTCCATATTTTGTGAGTCGTATTGCACAAAATAAAAATACACAAATCCCAACCAACACCCCCTCCAAAAAGTCAAATTACTATAACCGAAACCCTACCATAACAATAATGATAATAATAATGAAATGGATTCCGCAAACACCCTGTGTTTAATTAACTTCAGGGTGATTTACAATAAATACCAAGCAAAGATACTGCTTTTTACCCCTCTACAGGGTAAAAGACCTTATAAATACTCAGCGAACCTTTCTCTAGCCCGGTGTGGAACCGGCATACAGTTGCTTTTGTGCACCACTGCGTAACACTAACGGACGAATAAAGCTTGGGCTTCAAACTGTGTTGTATTTGTGATATACGAGGCCAGAACGAATTTTACTGGGCCCGGGAAAAATTTGTTAGCCTAATATGGAATAATTATGCACAGGGCGAAGGTCACAGGCATGCAATTTATGCCAGGAAACTTTTATCCAATCAGATTCTTTTCGTGAGGGGCGGGCCATGTTGAATGCAAGCGGAGGTAATTGTATAGCCACTCCATCACAGCCATTGGGATTGCACACTTAAGCAAAAATTACTGCTTCAATTTTACACCCACCACCTTCCCCTGTAGCACCGCCCACAATGAGTATGGTTCAATGCTGGTGGGAGAAGGTATCTTTATTTAAGAGATACCTGTGTATTCTTATTCATTATTATATTCTTTTGTTAGTATGGCAATTTTTGCGGACAGAGACAGCCAGTAACCTTCCTGTTCCTCATTTGGCATTTAAAGCACTTTGGGTTTGGGTATTATTGTTACGATAATTTAAGGTTTCCATAGCACTCGAAAAGTGTCATGAGGCTATGTTTTCCTGACCGATTGGAACAGCAGTGGGAAGCTTTCATGTATTAATCCATGTGTGAGTTCTGTGATTTTTCACATTACTTAAAGTGCATTGCCCATAGCACTCGAAAGTTTCCCGGGGTATGTTTTCCCAACCGAAGGTAACATCAGTAGGAAGTGATTGTATGTTAATGCAAGTGTGAACTATGGTTTGGCCCATGTACATGTAGCTTTGGGCATGTGGCATTGCCCATATTTGTCGGGCCGTGTGTTGCCCAGGGGCCTGGTATCACCCCAATAACTGGTTGGGCCACGTAGGCCTGTTACTAACATTTTGAAAACCGGCATGCCTAAATCTGGTATACTGCAACAGTATATCAGAGGGAAGGAAGCCTACCATGCCTATAGTCACTGCATCAGCTGGAAAATAAACATGATAAAGGTTTGCCACGTTATGATCTGGGGCTGGGTCAAGTTTACCTGTACAAGTTGTGCTCAATCCGTTCAATATCTAACACAGCACTGGATAATCTACTTGGTTCCGAGTCGCCATCTGCATCTGCCGAAGGAGTCCTCATTCTGCCTCTCCGTCTCCCAATTTGGCTATCACGATCAACTACACAGCCGTACTGCAGCACCACCGACTGGGCCGTACAGCGAGGCCTAGGCTATGTATACTTTCTCAACTTATACAAAAGTTGTCCACTCGGCTCACGCTGATGAAGCTCGAGTTCAACTTCAACATTGACACTCACAGAGTAACAAAGATCATGTTCGTGCTCACCAATCATAGGCCCCCAGGCCCAGATTGCCCCTGTCATGACTATGCACATGCTGTACTTTGAACTCGTGTAGTCGTACTATGGAGGTACTGATTGCTGCCTGGCCTACCTGAACCAGCGTATACTGGAAAGACACAAAACAGCATCAACAATGCTGGGAGGTCAATTTCACCCGATAACCTGTCTGCCTTCCCGCCCACCTTTCACATCTTTGTAGAGATCAGTACCTTTCACCCACTTCCACACATCTGACACTAGTGACACTGACGGCTAGGCCCTAGTCACCTGTAAAATCGTCGGTAGTTAATGGGGCCGGGGACGGGTGTTACGTTTCACTGTCATGGAATCCGATAAGATTCCAGATATTTCAAAGAGAAAAACAAACGCGCCCTCAAGAGCTATTCGATCGATACGACGATAAACAGATGAGATTCGTATTATCATATCAACACAGGTCAGGTGACGTACATGTACTTTTTCTTCTGGCAATGGTATGTCTGGCATGTCTACATGTAGATGTAGTTTGTGACACACACAAAAAAAACTCAAAAAATTGTCTCAAAAATCCCGTGAACACCTTTGTTCTTATATTCATTGAGCTACAAATATATTTTGGGGAAACATCTGTTGAAGAAAAAGTTTGTTGGCAAACTTTCATTTTCCCGAAGTGAAGGCATGTTTTATAACAGAGAGACCACCAAAACTATAGGCCTTAACTTGCCCAGTGGACGTCGTCGTCGTCTACTATCGCATTGCGACTCGTACACGTCGTAGAGTAAATGGAGACAACGTCCAACCAGGGCTATGCTAGGCCTACTTTAATTATTTTAGAACCCTGCTACTAGTACTAGCAGGCATACTACCAGTTTTTTTTTTTACCAAATTTTTATTGAAAAAATGGGCCTAGCATGGTTTACAACATGCTTTAAACCATGTTGATTAACTGCCAAATTCGGTTGGTAGAATCATGGTAAAATCCTCTATCTTTTCAAAGAACTGAAAAACTACCACCTTGTTTTGTTTCTAATGAAACAAGTACATAGGTCTTACTCTTGTTAGTAATGTAAGTGCATGGAGGTAGGAACAGAAGTGAAACACTTTGTAATGCTCATTATGTGAACTGAGTATGCACGGCTTGTCGTTTATGTAAGTGATACAAAAGCATAGCAGTATTATCTGAAAGCCAGACGGAATGTCACCGTCTACCATCTGATTAATTGTGGTATCACAGATAACATGGAGAGAAAAAAACGACCTTGAAGGCTCAAACACAGGAAATTTTCCATTTTAATCTTAAATGGTGATTTTTCAATTTCATATGAGCCTTACAAACCTGATTTTTCCAAGCCAGTATCTCAGTGTATATATTTTTTCAATATAGGAGAAAGGTTGTTGATCATTATAAGTGAGAGAAAAGGGGAAAGAATTCCACATCTGGTAGCCACCTTGGACTTCCTCTATATGGGCCATAAATGTTTAAGTCTCAGTATTCTTAAAGAAATTTTGCAAATTTTATACCTCCAGTACGTTATGTAGTTGACTTTCCTCAGTTTAATAGTTTTGAATAGTTTTCAAGGAAGATATATGGTGGAAGATGCAGAAGTCTTTATATTTTGGCATTTCAAGAGACATTTTCCATTATTGCATTTGTAAAATTATCCAAATCATGTTTGCTTTTCCAGCAGCTCAAGGTTTGAGTGAATTCAAATAAAATTGTTTTGAACAAGAAGTTGCCCGCGAGGCATTGTCCATTCTTGTCACCATGGGGCAGTCGTCAAGCACGAAAGAGCGAGCCATGGAACCAAGCTACGAGAATTTAGAGTACCAGGGCCTCTTCACCGAAGCAGAGCTGGAGGAGATGGGCCAGACGTACCAGGCGATCTGTCAGCTCGGCAAGGAAGCTGCAGAGAAAGCCTGCGGGTTTAGTCTACTCCAACTTCAGGTCTGTTGTCACTGTTGTGACCCAGTTATAATGAAGTCAGACTTGTGTGGCATATTTTAGCCACATTGCCTCATAGGACGTCTAAACACGACATGGTTATTATGCAAGTTCAGCTGGTGGGTTAAATATCTCTTTTGTACACGCGCACAGCAAAGTCCAGGAGCCTGTGAAGCCCGGTTGCGGTAGCAAATATCGCTCTTTATGTGCATCTCAGAGTCTTGAAAAATATGAGGTTTGTAAGAGAAACTATTCAAATACCATTCAAATGACTCTTATGGATCAGTATTTCTGATGTTAAGCTGCAGTTTACCTTTATCAGTTGGCTGCTATATCTTGCCTCTTTATTCAAATGTTAATATATTTTTGACCAAATATAACACCGTTGGCATGTGTTTAATCATTCTTCAAACTCAGCCAGGGCACTGTGACATTTTGTCCTTGAGCAGGATGATTTCCTACAGTTACTAGTCTCCACTAAGGAGTAAATGGCCGAGTTGATTACAGTTTTACAAGAATTTGAAGTCTGTGCCGTGATTTTGCAGAGGTTCATCGGAGGGAAACTCCCGGCGTCAATCGTGGGGCGTCTGCACAAACAACTCCAGGCCAGAGATGGGTCTCAGGAGGGGGCGGGGATATCCCGGAACACCTTTGTGGACACCATGGCGTGCCTGATGAAGGGAACTCCGCAGGAGCAGAGCAACTTGCTCTTTGCTCTGGTCAGTGACGAGGAGGCAGATGCGATGTCAGTAGGTCAGGTGTCAGAGGTGATTGCCAGAGTTCACTTTTATATTTCTTCCTTCCTGATGGCATTAGATGACCATCAAATACAAGAATGGCTTTTAGGAAGCTTATTTTGCATTTTGGCTCTGTTACTGATAAGAAATTATATGATAAGAACTCTGAAAAAAAATATAATATTGATAGAAAATGTCATGATTGATCTGATAAGAATTTTGCTCACGTATATCTACCATTACTAGTGCTCAAGGCATTTATTTATTGAACCTGCTCACAAGGTTCATAAAAAAATTCCTAAATCTCATCTCCATAACTTTCTAAGGAGTGTATAGCTTCATTCCACTGCCAATCCAGTCCTAACCTGCTAGTCAGAAAAACAAACATCTCTGCCCCAGCAGAGGCCCATTTATCCACACCCCCCAGGTGGAGACAGGTAGTGTTGAAGTAAAGTGACTTGCACAAAATTACAACATATAACCAGCTACTGGGTTCGAACCTCAGAACCTGTGTTCAGGAGTTACAAACCCTAACTAACCACCAAGCTACATGCCTCCAAGTCTCTCCAGGCAGCTTGTAGCTGAGAAATTGTGACTACCCAGACAATTATCTTTCCAACCTTCAAAAAATTTGCATTAGGGATTCCTAGCGATTAGAAAGGGGGGGGGAGGTGTTCAGACCCCCAAATCTCTCTCTCCTCCTTGCGTGTGGCCTTGAAAATGTAATGTTTTGACACTTGTGTATTTGTCCACCTCAAAGCTGATAGGTTCCATGCTGAAGTCTTACGAGGCAGCCCTGAAGAGCTACGATAGGATGAATGGCTGGGAATTGACATGCACAGCAGAAGCCAACCAAAAATTCATTGACGCGGTCGTGCAGTTTTTTGGCTCAGGTGAGATGAGGCCAAGTAAACAAAAATGGTTGCCTGTATTTTGTTTGTAAGAGGAAATGATCAGTTTTTTTTTTATTTCATGTATTTCACCATGGGTATTTTTCTGTGATAGTTTTGGCATAACATAGCCTGAGTGGTTTCCTGAAGCTAGTTATTGTCAAACATAAGGGAATTTCTAAGCTCAAAGACTTGAAGAGACGGACGGTCGGATACCTAATTAGGCAGAACTACAGATCTAGGCAGATGACAGACAAAACGAAACTGTTGTACATGTCAGAGACAATAAATAACATTTACGAACTACGTGCTGGTTCATTCAGATAAAAAAGGCAATGTCACAAGCAACCACTGTCATATGAAATGGATATGTAACGTACCTGCAGAGCATGTCGACGGAACATGTGTCTACCATGGAGGCCAGCCCAGAACTGCGTCATGTGTCAAGTGTGTGATTTTCGTACCCATTAAGTTTGCTAAAAATAAATAATGCTCTGAGATGCAAGGTCTAAAAATAGACGCACTAAGACTGCGACGATATAGAAAGTTAGATTGGCACCTATTGGTTTCCTGGACTCTTTTGCGAATACGCCTGTGTCTATAAAATAAAATTCACTTGATCAACAAGTTTTAATCTTGCCTTCAGTGGGTTGCATGTTCTGTAAGAAACAAAGGAAAAGTCAAAGTAGGTTCTAAATATTTTTAAAGGGAAAATTTAAAAGGGGGGCAGGTGGTAGTTCTTTAGTTGGCCTAACCCTCTGAGAGTCTTTATTGGCAATTCCTTCCTTCCTTATCTCTTTACATACTTTTGATTTTTCAAGTCAAGTCCTACTGGCAACAGTCCATGAACTTCAAAGAGACCTTTTGATGGGTACCCGGTGATAACACCTCCCACATCCCCTTCTATCTCCTTTTTTCTCCCTTTTTACCCCTTCAACTTGAATCTGTGATGTTTCGGATCATTGTGAACAGACGGTAGCAAGCCCGCTGCGGAGGCCAAAGTGAGCAGGGAGGACTTTGCACGGTGGCTGCAGCACACTCCGCTGGTGCAGCAGATCATTGCCGACGTTTTCCACCTGTGCTTCTCGGCCGCGTCCAGATCGCCTGCTGCAGTGAGTTCTCCCCCTAAATCCGGGGTTTTAGATATCAACTACCGATTTGTGGTCCGCCAGTGATTTTGCTCGAGACAATATAAAGTCGCAAAGGTTAACCACAGTTAATTTCAGCATGCGCATTCCATAATCCTGGGTGTTTTAATACACAGTTTTTGAATGTTCAAAGCAACGGGTGACGTTACAATCAGATAATTTCTGATCAAACCTGTTATACGTCTGAACAAATTTAACATGCTTATGTGTAGTGTTATTCCTTGTGGCACCAGAAATAATGCAGTGTTCCCTTTCTTCACTACGGCGCTAACCGGCATCCCATTCATGGGGGAATAGAAACAACAGGCTGATTAGACATGCTGGGTTTGGACGGGAATTACTTCTTTTACTTGGCACAGTGTCTGGAATGGCACATCCCGTTCAAACACACTTTTTCACGTGTTTAAAATTCCTGGGGAGAAAAAATTATTTTTAAAAAAATGAGAAGAAGACTCTGAAATAAGTGTATCTGCTTAAATTGCACCTTTAAAAAAAGTTGAGAAATTTGTCTTGGATTTCGCAGCATGGGTAACAGAAAAGGTGTCAGTGCATGCGTATTCTCGCTTCTTCCAGACAGCATCAACAGACACCGACACCTCGGTCCTTCACCACCTGCCCAGCCTGCCCCGCTGTCTGGGCGCCAACTGGCGCAAGCTTCACACCCAGCTAGACATCCCCAGCCTCCTGATCCTCACCCGCCACCTGCCCCACCACCTTCGGGACCAGTGGCGGTTCCTATACTCCACGGCGGTCCACGGGGCCA